AAATATCAATTAATCTGGAAAAATAAGACTATAAACAAAACATTAAAGTAAATAGTTTTACAGTGGACAGGCAGATGTTAACAAGGTCCATGCTTTGGTAAAGTAGTCTTCATAGAAAGCTTCTCTGACAGCCAAATAAAAGACTTAACCCTCAGGGCTGGAGAGATAGCTCAGCGGTTAAGAACACTGGCTGTTCTTGCAGAAGACCCGGGTTTGTATCCCAGCACCCACATGGCAGCTAACAACTGTCCATAGCTCCAGTTTCAGGGGACCCAACAGCCTCTTCTGTCCTCCGTGGGCATTGCATGATGCAGGTGCACTTACCTACATGCAGGCAATACACACATACACACAAAATAAAAATAATAAAGAAAATATTTTAAAAGACTTAACCCTCAGGCTGGAGAGATGGCTCAGCGGTTAAGAGCATTGGCTGTTCCTGCAGAGGACCCAGGTTCGGTTCCCAGCACCCACGTGGCGGCTAATAATTATCAGCAACTCCAGTTCCAAGGGAATCTGACACCGTATTCTGGCATCCACGGGCATAGCAAGACATGGGTTCACTTACATATATGCATAAGTAAAGAAATTGTCTAAAAATGGTTTAACCTTGAATGAACCTGAGCTGGAAAGAAAAAAAATGTTGACCTAATAATTATGAATTATAACAGCTGAGATCTCCTACGATAGATTTAAATTAATTCATGGCACATATATTTGAATAAGATGGGATGGATTATACATATTTTGGAATATACTGTGATAATTTAATACATGTATATAGCATATATTGTGTTAAAATTGTCTTAGTTTACTTAATATAATGTCCTTAAGTTCCATCTACTTTGCCTTAAATGACAGGATTTCATTCTTGTTTATGGCTATATAATTCCACTAAGCATATATACCAGGTTTTCTTTATTCATTCATATGCTGAGGGGCAACTATGGTGATTCCATATATTGACTGGCATTAATAGTGATATAATAAACATGAGTGCCAGATATGTTAGTCATGGCCAATTAAATGATACTTAACATATAAGTGATGTGTATATAGGGATTACTGAAGCTTGTGAGTTCTCTCGAAGGAAGAGGGCCACAATATATTCCTTCTGATGGAAATCTAGTCACAATGAGGTGATTACTTGGGAAACTGTGGGTCAAAAAGAAATGATGTGATTAGGTTTTCAAAGAGAGTACATACTTACCTAAACTTAAGCACTATACATTAGTGGTGGGTAGAAGACAGTTGGTAATGTTCATAAAAATTTTGGGCAAGTCTTCTTAGATAGAGACTACTGGATTCCAAACCCTGTTTCCACTCTTCTGCTGAATGCATTTTCAAATGCAGGTGATTTTTAGCAGGAGGTGTTGATAAAATTGCTGACTCTCAGTACCTTAACACACAGGATAAACTTTTTTTTGAAATATATATGTATTTTTTTTCATTATAACATGTCTCCCTTTCAGGATTTTTTGTTTTGTCAGCAGTGAGAACAGCAACAATCATAAAAAAAGAGGAGATCTATAGCTTTTTAAAAATCTAATTTTTTGTACTCATCCCAAAAGACAATAAAAGACTATGTAAAGTGTCGTTTTCCAGAAGGGCCTGTGGTGAATACCTGAGAGCCAAGAACACCAGGGAGTCGCAATGATTCCCTGGACAAGCTGATGAAATTGACATCTTTTTTTTTTTTTTTTTTTTTTTTTTTTTTTTTTAAAAAAAAAAAAAAAAAAAAGAGGACGATAAATCTCTCCTCACAGATCAGAATGAAGGGTTTCATTGCCGGGAAGAATGCCGGATTCTTGGCCACTCTGATAGATGCTGGATGCCCCGGAATCCCATGCCCACCCGCTCCAAGTCCCCTGAGCACGTGAGGAACATCATCGCGCTGTCCATCGAAGCTACCGTTGCTGATGTTGAGGCTTATGACGACTGCGCCCCCACCAAGCGGACTTTCGCAACTTTTGGAAAAGATGTCAGCGACCACCCTGCTGAGGAGAGACCCACCCTGAAAGGCAAGAGGACTGTCGATGTGACCATCTGCAGCCCCAAAGTCAACGGCGCTATCCGGGAGGCGGGCAATGGTTGTGAAGCTATTAGCCCCGTCACTTCCCCGCTCCATCTCAAGAGCCCTCTGCCCACCAAGCCTTCTGTGTCTTACACCGTCGCCCTGGCTCCCCCGGCCCGCGATCTGGAGCACAGTGTCAACAACGGCGCCTCTCGTCCTTCTGAAGCTGAGCCCCGCGGAGCTGATAGTGAGAAAGTCATGCATGAGGTCAACCCTATTCTGAAGGAGGGTCGCGACAAGGAGTCCCCTGGCGTGAAACGTCTGAAGGATATCGTTCTGTAAACCAGTCTTGGGGAAGAAGAGAATGAAACCACACTGGCAAGTGAAGACGCAGGAGCTGCTCGTTTTATTGGCTCACCAATGGTTGGTTACTGAGTGGCTATATTGCAGAACTTTCCCTAAACGTATTGTTTATAAATGACTATCATTCTGTGACAATCCCTCTCGTTTCAATAGGCAGCAGGGGTGTTCAGTGGGAGCAAATTAGCTTTGGAGTGTGTTGTTCATGGGGCCTTGATGTTGGGGAAACAGAGACAAATTCAGTTGTGAAAAGTATTATGTATTAAGTGTTTGAATTTATATATTTTTCTATGTCAAAATGATAATATAAATTACCATTGTTTGTGGAGAATTACATTTAAAAAAAAGCAAAAAGCAAAAAAAAAAAGCTCTGAACACCTTTAATAAGCTCACCACTGTTTTTTGTAGTGTAGGCAAGTTAATGGTCATTTATTGTGTACTATTCATTGATTCAGTGATGTGAAATCGAGCCCCCAAAAGGTTGTTTCTGAAGCTCGAGTACTTTCCAATGCCGCTACTTTGCTGTGGACGCCCCTGCTTTAAGAACCCTTTTGCTAGCTGTGCTGTTGTTGTATTTGATATTGCAAATTGCTATGTGTGTGCTGATGGCAAAAGGCTTTTAAAGGTTGATGTTTTTTTTCTTAAAAAATAATAAAAATATAGACAAAAACATAAATGCAAACAACCGAGACAGCAAACGAATGAGCAACACCACACCTACCACCTATGGACTGAGTACTTGGAGGATACAGTTTTTAATCCATGTGGTGATTGCTTACCACCTTGCAGAGGATTTTTCCTGCCTTTCAGTCTTCTGCCCAGGTCCGTGCGAGATCATCACAGAAAGTCATTTTTGGATATGCTGCTATCTGATTTGCAGTTTTCAGAAATACTGTGCTGAAAGTTTTATGAGATCCTATTTTTTTTTTCTAATTTTCAGACCCTGAGCAGGAAAGTTGCTCCTGAAGTTATCAGTTTTCAGGCTGAGAAACTCCCTGTCTCCAATCATCTAAAACTCATGCAACATGACTGAATCTATTTTGAGATTTAAATTAGCATCTCTTTAGACACACACTTCCTGATTCAGTGTTTCCCAATCATGACTGGAATCAGACTGTAAAGCACATCATGGGTTGGATTTGAGGACTCCATGTTGCTCTGTATCTTTGGTTTATAGATAATGATAGAGTAAGCAGTACAAAGTGTACACTTAAGAAAGGACAGGTAACAGCATCACTAATCTAATTACTGTGCCTTCTAAATGGAGACACTTGGACACTTGAACTCGTCTTTTTATGACTAATACTTTTTTGAGGAAAAATGTGAATATGAAATTCTGAAAATAAAAGCTCTTTAGATTTAGCTAACTCTTGCTGTAGGCTAGGAATATGCCTTTTTAAATTGACAAACAGCGCATTCTTTTTCATTGTTGTTATTTTAGCACTGCTTGAAGTCCCCCATTTTACACTCTCTCTACTAATATTCACTAGCCAGCATAGTATTCTTGCAGTGTAAGAGCTCATTATTTAAAAATAAAGACATCACCATTGCTCTACCTTGATCTTAAAAGAATTGTTTCTAGAGAAGCAAGTTTTATTGTTTTGTTCTTTGTCTCAATTTTTTAAAAAAAAAATTCAAGAGTACCTATAAAGAAGGCATAGAGGTTAGAGCACAAGAATTTAAAAGAGAATTTATTTTCTTAAGTTTAGGTAGATATGGTTAGCTCTTTGAAATGTTTTTGTTATTTTCTGCCTGAGTTCCTAGCTTTATACATTACTAGGAATATTTTATTTTGTGGGAGGGGGAAGGCTTTTCAGGGAGCGGGATGGGTAAGGCACTGGGGATGGGGCTAGGTAGGGGAGAAAACTTCTGAAAAAAAGAGAACCTATAATGAAGCTACAAATCCATCCTTATTTCTTATTCAGTGCTGAATACTACCTCATGCAAAATATTGGTGTGGCTGCAAATTTACCCGAGGAACTGACACAATTAGAGCTCAATTACACTAACATCTTCATTTTGCCTCATTTAATTCTCATATATTTTCTCCTCTTTTGATTTATTTAATTTTGGTAGTAGATTATGAATTAGGTATTTATTTTTCTTTACAAGTGATTATTCAATTAACACATTTAAGTATTTAAAAAAGTGCCCTTTAAGTTAGGATGGCTGCCTATAGAATTTAGGCTGATTTCTCCCTGATCCGTCCTGATATTATATGGTTAGCTACCATCACAAGGTCACTTTGTAGTCAGATTGGACAGTTTTCCACAGGGGTATTCCTCCCTCTGCTCAGTGGGAAAGAGCTGGAATGATTGTGGAAAGTGGGAATCAAAAGTCTGAACATAGCTATGTGGCTGTTGAGTCAGAGAGGCCACTGCCTGCCATGCCACTTACCAGCCAATTTAAAATAATTAGAGTAGCAGTGGCATTGATTCTGCTTTTTTTTTTTTAAAGCTAAGATCCTTCTCTTAAATTTTGTCCCCAGAATTGCTTTCAAGCTACAGACTCATCCTTTTTCTCTATCTAAATACTGTGTTCTCAGTGGGAAGACAGAGATTTCTTTTTTTTTCCTCCTCCAAACTCTTTACTAAGTAAGTCCAAAAAAAATTCTCTCATTGAGGAAATATCTTAGTCCTTCTGCAGTTGTCTGATCTATGTGTCCTCCCAGAAGTGCAAGTGCATCTTAGGAGGGCTTTGTCGGCAGGGTTGGCAGGCAGGCAGTGCCTGCAAATAGGATTTTTGTGCAAGGACCTTAAATTTCCCATTAACTCATGATTCTCCCCCTCCTTTTTAGATGTGAGTGATGAAAACCTACCAGGACTAGGGGCCCAAATCTCTTCCCTTTTCCTTCTGCAAACATGTTATACACTTAAACACGTGGGAGCAATTTTGGTTGCCAAGTTTTAGGGAGTTCTATTTCACTCACTTATTCTGATGTCCCTTGGTGTTGAAGTATGGAGTGCTCAACAATTCCCTGGGCAGATAAACTTCTTCACTCAGTGTAAGGAATCTAGTTTGCATTGACTGACTGCTCTATTCCAAATATGGGAACATGCTATCTGATAAGAAATAGGGAGAAGTGATTCATAGTGCTATGTAGAAACTTTTCTTTTCCCTATGCAGACTAGTAAATGAACCTGTTCAGAATGAAACTTAGTATTCTTTTGATCCTCTGAAGCCAGTAGACTAAATTATGGTCCATCTTATTACTGAAATAGATAATGGGCTAGGGGATCCTGTAGTTTCTACAGAGCAATGGTTTTCAAAATATCACTTCCAAACAATATCCCTTGGGAACTTCTTAGAAATGATAATGATCTGTCCCTACATAAACTGACTGTATAGGAAACCCTGTGGATCTGGCCCAGCAATCCGTGTAAGTCAGATGCCCTCTATAGTTTGAGGACTTTTAAAGCACAGGTTGATAGTGCCGAATCCTTGGAGATTCTTATTCAGTCGTTCTGGAGTAGGACCGCTTTTCTTCTGTATGGATTCCCAGGAGATACTGATGAGACAATACTTTGGGTATGGCTGCTCTTGAAGAAACTTTCCTCATAGAACTATGTCTACGGTGGCCATTTATACAAATTTGTTGACATGGTGACCCACTAATCACTAATATGAAATACAACTCAGAACTCTGAAAATTGGAACTGCCCAGAATATCTTTCTTATCCTATCAATTCAGCATATGGCTGACTGTTAGAGGGAAATTCAGATGACTTTTTCCTGTATTCCTACTATATCAGCAAACAGAAGTGGTCCACTTGAAGTAGCAAAGACAAGGGGCAGTTTGGGGAGAGGCAGGAATGGAGGGAATAGCTCGTCTAGGCATCCAAGGTGAAGAAAGGATTATTACTGTATGTAATCCACTTTACAGGGATCATTTTGATGGTAAATGCTCCCCAAAGCACTCTGACAAGTCTGGTCCACTTGGCTCTTTACATAGGGTTATAAGACCCTTCTGACTTTGAAGAACTGGCATAAATGAGCTGAAGAAGTCCATTGTATACAGTCCTAGTGTTTGCCTTCTTGGTAAAATTACATTTAATGATGTCATTTCATGAGTCAAATTGTATCTGCTGACACTAAAGTGTATTGAGATGTTGTTCTTTAGTTTAAGTATGTATCAAAGTAATATTCAAAGGGGATGTATGGGGGTGGGACTGGGACTGGGTGGCTTTATATTGATATTGAAATATTCCAGAGCAAAACACATTGTCCTAATGAAGTTGTTGCAGCTCTCTTTGTTTTCTTGTGAGGCTGAAATTGGCCTGTGGGTCACTTGTGCAAAAGTGAATTAATTTCAAATAGGAATCACATTGCTTTTGTGAAACAAAGAAAATTAACCACCTTGTCTGAAATATACATTGTAAGGCGCTCTTGGTAAAGAACAACCTGGAAACACCTGATCTTGATTGGAAAGCATTGTAGGTCATTAGGGAAAACTGATGATGCTGACTGTCGATACAGCTGTGTTGGCAATTAAAGATGACCTTGTTACTAACTGAATGTTGCTGTCAGTCTTAGCAAACAAACCAGCTAACACCTTTACAGCACTGGTTAAGTAGACGTTTACTGGCACTGGCTGCCGTTCAGCTGAGGAAGGCTAGGATACAGACTTTAATGACCAAGAGCCAGACTAGCTCAAGCTAGAAATTCAGCAACAAATACCTCCTTGTGCTATTTGAATGCTAAGGTATTAGTTGCAAAAGGCTTACGCCTTCGCTCCTCTAGTGAGGGGAATGAGCCTGATGACACTATTACTGTTTACCTGTCAAACCAGGGTGGCAATTTAGAGGGATGCAAGTACAGTATGTCTCATTAAGCAGTCTCTGTTGCTGATTATATGAAGATGAAATTGTTGTATATGCTGATCTGTATGTTATGTACATTTTCACAGTGATTGAATCATTGTAAAAACAAAAAAAGACAAAAAAGAATCACCACTTTGTCTATTTTATGAAGATGATAAAGCAGCTTTATTAAATTATTACGGTTATGTTTAAATGGTGTTACCTGCCACATTGTTTCCTTTTATCTGGTGGTTCTCTGTTTCCCCCTTAAATGTGTTTTCTCTGCTTCAAAAATTTAATGCATTTTAGTATTAAAGGCTATTATGGAAAAAAGTATTGTTTGGTGAAATGTGTCTTGGTGAGTGTTCATTGACTCGGGGTGGGGGTGTCTCTGAACTTGGAGGTAACCAGCTTTTGGCGGGGTCTTTGATGTTCAGGCCCAGAGGCTTCCCTTTGCCTTTCCCACTTTAAACCTCTTTCAAGTTTCTGAGGGCTTCTTCCTCCAGCCAGGCGCCAGTCATTTATTTGCAACCACTCTCCTTGCCAATTGGATCAATACTGTTGCAGAATGAGGGGGGCCCATTTCACTGCCAAGATGCTAAAGATTTTCCCAGGTGCCACTTTAAACAAGAATAGTAAAATTATTCTTTAAAATGGGCAACTGCACAATGGGACGTCTCTGAAGAATTAATTTTTAAAAACAGAGCCATAGTAGAGGCCATCAGTAGGGGAAAAGTGAGTAGAACAAAGATGACCTGGTTGCCCTCTTGATGCCTTTAGATTTGAAAATGAAGCAACAGGAGAGGTTCTGATTTTGCACATAACAAGGTTGCAGAGAAAGCCCTGACAATCTCTCTTTATCCAAACAATTATTCTCTAAGATTTATCACCTGGGCTCTAAGTGTTCATTCTGGCTGCATCTGGAGGGGGTGGATAAAGGAAAGGGGGGGCATACAGCACAGTACAAATAGTGCCTTTAGTGGTTAAAGGCTAAATTGCTTCAGCATGACCTATTCTATCCAGACAATTAAAAGTGATCTCAAGGAAATCCAGTCTTCCTGGATCTCCATCTTCCTGTTATCTCTGCCTACTTGTATTAAATTGAGATCATATCTTATTCCTCAGAATTAGCCCTAAAGCCATAGCAACGGCCAGAAATTTGGCATTGGAATTTAATAGGTATTGCTTCAGAGTCCAAACACAGACATGCTAGGATACATGAATGACACACAGTGGTATATGTACAGATGCTCACGTGTTCTCACAGATATAAAGGCATATGGAAAGAGGCCAGTCTGTCCTTAGCATGGAAGCCATTAAGACATAGAAAGTGAAGTGAGTGCTTCTGAGTTAGCCTGCACCAAAAACGTGTGCTTGTGCACGCACATGCACACACACACACACACACACACACACACACGTTTCTTGGACTGTGTTCCATCTATTATTTTTTGAGGGGAGGGACAAAGCAGAAAGTCAGTTTCTCCTTATAATAAGGCCTTCCAAGTAACAAGAAGAGAAAGTAAATTCTCATATGCTGAAGGGCCTTCACATAGACAACACATGCATATCTAAATTCGTAACAATGATAAGTGCTTCAGTATGGGAAAGTGGCAAAATTATGGAAGCATAAACTCAAATATATTCAAGTTTATAAAAGAAAAGCAAAATAAATTAAATCATCCATTTCATTGTGGTCACAAACTGCTACAACACACGTAACATGTGGTATGAACATGTTGTGTGTGAAGGACATAAGAACTGATGCCAAAAAGGGTATTCTCTCATAGGAGATGGAACCCTGTATTAGTTACTTTTCTGTTGCTGTGATAGAAACACCATGGCCAAAGAAACTTATAAAAGAATTTATTTAGTTTATGGTTCCAAAGGAGCAAGAGTCCATCATGATGGGGAGGCATGGCGGCAGATGTGGCTGGAGTAGGAGCAGAAGTTAAGCACTCACATCTTCAAGCAGGCACAGGAGGCAGAGCTTGACTGGAGATCAGGCAAGGCTTAAGAATTCTCTAAGCCCACCCCCAGTGATGGCTTCCTCCAGCATGGCAATACCTTCTAAGACCTCCCAAAACAGTGACACCAACTGGGGACAAAATGTTCACACACTTGGAGTCTATGAGGAACATTTTCAATCAAACCACCTCACACTTGCACTGAGACTAAGACATGTCTAGCCATTTCATTATTTTGTTTTACAGAATGGATATGATTAAAGATGTCCTACATGCCATATCTACCACCTGGAAGGAGATGGGGGCCTGAAAACAAAATTCTTTAGGAGGAAAACAGATAGGTGTTGCCATTGGAGTCTTAAGTCTTAATCCAGCCATACGTTAGCAAATGGCTTACTTACCCATGTTTGACACTTTCATATGCTACTTTTTTTATTTGTATTTTTATCAGCATATAGTAATTATGGAGGTTCTATTTTTAATTGTTTAGAGGAAACTCCATGCTGACTTCCATAATGACTGGACCATTGTTATTGTGTAGAAGGAAGATGGATGGGAAGTGGTAGGACCAAAATCACTCACAATTCTTGATGCACCTTGTGTTTTAGAGCCATAACTACTCCCAGGTGCTCAAAGTCTTGGTTTTTCCTTATTTGTCCAGGTTCCCCAGTATGGATCTTAACCCCATTAACAGGGATTTCCCTGTCTTGTCAATGCTTCCAGTGACTCCCTTACCAGTCTCTTTCTAAAGTTTAGCTGAGTCCTGATCAGAACTTAAGGGACCAGCAGAGCACTATACCATGTGCCAGACACTAAAAACTTACCATCACACTGTCTTTTTCTGGCAATATTTATTTATTTTGTGTATATGGTTTTGTGTGTATGTGTGTGAATATGGGAGCGTGTGCCACAGCTCACATGTAGCGGTTGGAGGGCAATTTATGGAAGTCAGTTCTTTCCCTCCACTCTGTGGGTCCCAGGTATTGAACTCCAGTTCTCAGGAATTACAGAAAGTGCCTTTACATTCTAAGCCATTTTGCTGCTCTCTGTACAGCATCTTGTCCTTAAGGCAACTTTGTATGATAGATGATGATATCTCTATTTTATATACAAACAATTTGAGACTCAAGAGTATTTAGAGGAAGTTGTCCAAGTTTAAATGATTACTAAGTAGTAGAGCTAAGATTCAAGTCCATATCTGTCTACTAAGAAATTATTACTCTCTTCAGAAACTCTTAAGGGACCAACAATCATCCTGATAAGTTTTTCCTGACTAGAGTATTAATAGTGGGCTCTAATATCTTAAGGCATTTATTCACCCTAAAAAACATTGAAATTTTAACTGAGATCTTTGGGAAACCAATGTCATAGCCCACTATGTTACAGTGGGAATTTCAAGCCAGGGTGCTTTTGATCAGTCTCCCAGGCATCTCCTTACTCTTCTACTCAGTGTCTGCCTTTCAAGTTGCATTAGTCATGCATGGCAGGACTGTGGTTCCTTTTAGAGTCAGTGCACTCTAGCTACTCAACAGCCCTTGAAATGAAGGTCTGGTAACCCTATATTCATCTGTCCCTCTGGGTTTCAAGCAATCTGTCAAGGATGTATTCATGTGTGTTACAGGTCAGCACAGCTGGAGTCAGTCCCAATATATGTTCACAACAAGCCTGGATTACTTTTTCAGATGCAGAAAGTTGGTAGAAGATGAGAGAGGTTAAGGGATAAAGCAGGGTGCTAGTGGTAGTGGGAAAGGGAAGCATGTTTGAAAAAGCAATTGAAACCACAGGCTACTGCAAGGAAACGTATAATAGAGTGGAAAAATCAGCTAGAAAATGTGACTGATTTAGTTGTGAGCACTGGGTCACCAGAAACATAGGAATTGGCTTCCACACACGCTTCACAGTTCAGGTGAAATTAAAGAAGGATTGGTGGGTCCCCAAGAGACTTTGGTCTAGTCTTTCTAAGTCAGCAAGTGTCCTGATGTGGAGTGAAATTAGGAAATGAGTTTGGACAAAGGAAAGTGGGAAGGGAACAGAGAAATCTACATGCATCAAGTATTTGGTAGCAAATCAAGCAGTTTCCTAAAGGGGATCCCCCTTATAAAAAGTTTAAGCCACAACTCATTCAAAAGTTCCTGTTATTGAAGTGTCTGGATCTCATATGCCTCAGTGGCCACCACTTTCTTAGTTTGGTCTCAGAGTTTGGACTGTCAGAGCCAAGGTACACAAAACACTAAGCACTGAGATACTTTACTAACACTGTTTTAGCTTTCTTTCTTTTTTTTTTTAGCAAGAAAATCTGGATCATGTCAGACACTAAGGCATCCAAATTAATAATCAGGAACTTTCCCAAAAATATCAGATAAGCTTTCTTCATTCCCACTGTAATCATTGCAGTCCAGAAGTTGGCATTTCTCAACTGGATATCTGAAATAATTCCCCCATATTGTCTCCTCTCATTCTCTTTGCCTCTCTTTATCACATGCTCACACCGCAGCCAGAGGGATATTGCTAAAATACAGCACCCGTTCAATCACACCTCTGCCTAAAACTCGTCAATAGTTTCTCTAAGATGAAATCTAATTTCCTTAACATGGACTACAAGAATGATTTTCAATTTTTTGGTCTGCTCCCTGTAGTAAAAAATTCATTTTGCATCACATACTTGTAACCGAAATGAACATTTCACAAACAATGCTTATATTTGTTACCTGCAAAGCACTCTGAGATTTTCTATTCAACTCTGAATGCCAAGAGTCAGCTTTTCCTTTAAAGGGCCAGATGGTAAATATATGAGGCTTTCTGGGCATATAGTTTGTGTTGCAGCAGCTATGCTTCATCACTGTTTACAAACATATTTTTGTTTACAACTCCAGGGACTTTTTGCAGCCCCCAGAAACATCCCTTCTCATAGTTCAGAGCATCCCACCCTCCACCCTGCCTAGTAAATGCTCTAGAGACATGTCTAGAGACATACAATGCCTCATTCTTAGACCCTGATCATGGATAGTTCCATAGCAACATCCCCTCCCCTTTATATAGAAACTCTCTTATTTTAGCATTTCTTTTCTTTGAAATACAAATGAAATATTTAACATTGATTAGTGAGCCATGAACTACAAAAGAATGTTCCCTATCACTAAAAGCAGAAGCAAATCAGAGTCACAAAACAAACTGTGTGTGTCTCTCTTTTTCTTTCTTAGTATATATAACATTCACGTATGTATATAAATAAGGAAATTTGGTAGAGCACAATTTAACATAAACTCAATCTCTAGCCTCACTTCACAAGACTAACCTTTTCTAATAACACAACTCAGGAAGGGGAAAAAATACCCATATTTCAT